ATCGCGTACACGTTTCCGTTGTAACGCGGCATTTTCGATGCGCCGTAAACGCGTCAAAACCGGAAGCACCGTGTTACGGTCCCATTAATTTCGACGATTGAAACGAAATTTAACATTCGGACGATCGCACAAACCGTTTAAATTCTTTCTTTTTGCTTTTTTAGTCGGAGTTCGTTCGATTGAAGTTTCGCACAGAGAATAAATACACGAATTCGTGAACTTGTTTCAAGATTTCCGATTCGAATACACTTCTCGAGCTTTCAAAATTCTCGGATTTTTGCGCGGTTTAACGATTCGAGCGACGTAGAGGTCCGAGGAACTTTCTTCGGCGAGTTGCGAAAGTTTCTGCTCGAGTATCCGATCCTGATCCGCTAATGACTCTGTCCGCACTACCGCGCAATGCGCACGGGAAACTTCCAAGTCGATTAAAACGACGAGGCCGAGGAGGCGGGGGGGACTGGGATGCTAATGAGAAGATGCTCGGAGGAGAGGAATTAGGATTACAGGGCGAGTTCCTTCGAGCGAGAGGAGAGACAGGCGAAGTTTTTCGGTTCGAACGCGCGACAGTGTCAGGACGTTCACCGTGAAATATCCATCACTGCCGTACCGAGAAACCAGCGACAGTGTCCCGACTTCGTTGGATCGGGTTAGATAAATGTAATAGTCCATAGTTCAGCTTGCTAACAAGGCTAGCCCCCCAGATCCGAGATAAAACTCTGGTCCAGCTGACTCTCCGGCTGTTCATAATGAGGCCTAGTAGGGCCCGATCACCGATTAGGACATTCTTAGCCGGTACTTCATCAATCACCGAAATCGCCGCCGATTTTGTCACGCGAAATACGAGGGTCCAGCTTCGATCGGGATCCTCGGCGAGTCCACGTCCCGATCGGACCACGGGCTTTCGAATCTTGACGCGATTTTCTTACCGATTTCCAGTTTTAACCCCGTAAACGACCAGACCGCGACAGTCTCGTTTCTATCGAACATTTAATGCTGTGGAAAGTAAATATTTGATGCACGATTTCATTTTACCTATTTCTTCACTTGTTATTATATAAGAAACTTTTATTTATTATATACGTTATTTATTTATTTTTAGTTTATTCGTTTAATTGATATTATAATAATATTTTAATTAATTCATTGATTTATTTATTTATTCATTTATTTATTACATAAGAAACGAACGGCAATTTTGGCCTAGATTCTTGAATTTCTGGGTGTAATGAAACTATGGTTATTTAATTACCGTCTCTGTGTAATGGTAAGATGAACTATTAATTAATTAAAAATTGCATTACACTGGCATCACAGTTTATAGAAGAAAAAGGACTCCGGAGAAAAAAGAATTGAGAAAAGCAAGAGTTCGCAATTTCATTTTAATTTCAAGTGACCCTCGAAAGTTCTAATATCTTGATTTTCAAATGTTCTAACGAAATTAATAAAAATAAGGAAAATTGAATCCAGATGGCAGCAATGCCTCGATTGCGTGGCGATTACGTTCCCTCCCTTTCCTCCTCCCTTCGTCGTTATTTACAGGATCGTCGAAACGATATGGGTTATATACAAATAAATTGATTAACTCTAACTTTTACATTAACAATTACAATTTAATACACTGTACGCGTCTTGAAGAGAGATTCAGCGTTTTTCCAGAAGAGGCGCCAGAATCGTCCACATATGCACGATGCAGGGCCGTGTAAAAACATTAATTATGGCAAAACTAGAGTATAAACAAATAAACAAAGAGCACGGAATTGTTCAGAAGAATCTGCTGCATCGATATCGTTCAAGAAAATCGAACGACAACAACGCAAAATATAATTACTTAACATAATAATTAAGTAAACTTCGAAGAGCAATTAATTACATTTAACAATGTTAGCATTGGTTTTCTTACATGAAATCGATGCAGCAGATTCTCCTGAACAGTTCTGTGTACTTAGTTTTGTTCTTTATGTCCTAATTTTGCCAAAATTAATGTTTTTAGGGGACCCTGCATTGGGATATGAGCGATTCCAGCGCCTCTTGTGGTGGAAAAGTGAAGCTTTTCAAACTGTTCGCCAAACTCGACTGTCGGTAATTTGGCTAGTAGTTTCCGCGTTTTGCCACGTTTTGCGCCTCTTGTGGAGAATACACGAAGCTCCTTTCGAAGTCCGTACAGCGCCAAATAGTGCAGTGGCAAAACGCTGAAACTACTAGCCAAATTACCGACACTCGATTTTGGCTAACAGTTCGAGCGTTTCGCCACTGCACAAATTGGTGCTGTACGGACATCGAAGGGAGCTTCCTTTATTCTCCACAAGAGGCGCAAAATGTGGCAAAACGCTGAAACTACTAACCAAATTACCGACAGTCGAGTTTGGCGAACAGTTTGAAAAGCTTCACTTTTCCACCACAAGAGGCGCTGGAATCGCTCATATCCCAATGCAGGGTCCCCTAAAAACATTAATTTTGGCAAAATTAGGACATAAAGAACAAAACTAAGTACACAGAACTGTTCAGGAGAATCTGCTGCATCGATTTCATGTAAGAAAACCAATGCTAACATTGTTAAATGTAATTAATTGCTCTTCGAAGTTTACTTAATTATTATGTTAAGTAATTATATTTTGCGTTGTTGTCGTTCGATTTTCTTGAACGATATCGATGCAGCAGATTCTTCTGAACAATTCCGTGCTCTTTGTTTATTTGTTTATACTCTAGTTTTGCCATAATTAATGTTTTTACACGGCCCTGCATCGTGCATATGTGGACGATTCTGGCGCCTCTTCTGGAAAAACGCTGAATCTCTCTTCAAGACGCGTACAGTGTATTAAATTGTAATTGTTAATGTAAAAGTTAGAGTTAATCAATTTATTTGTATATAACCCATATCGTTTCGACGATCCTGTAAATAACGACGAAGGGAGGAGGAAAGGGAGGGAACGTAATCGCCACGCAATCGAGGCATTGCTGCCATCTGGATTCAATTTTCCTTATTTTTATTAATTTCGTTAGAACATTTGAAAATCAAGATATTAGAACTTTCGAGGGTCACTTGAAATTAAAATGAAATTGCGAACTCTTGCTTTTCTCAATTCTTTTTTCTCCGGAGTCCTTTTTCTTCTATAAACTGTGATGCCAGTGTAATGCAATTTTTAATTAATTAATAGTTCATCTTACCATTACACAGAGACGGTAATTAAATAACCATAGTTTCATTACACCCAGAAATTCAAGAATCTAGGCCAAAATTGCCGTTCGTTTCTTATGTAATAAATAAATGAATAAATAAATAAATCAATGAATTAATTAAAATATTATTATAATATCAATTAAACGAATAAACTAAAAATAAATAAATAACGTATATAATAAATAAAAGTTTCTTATATAATAACAAGTGAAGAAATAGGTAAAATGAAATCGTGCATCAAATATTTACTTTCCACAGCATTAAATGTTCGATAGAAACGAGACTGTCGCGGTCTGGTCGTTTACGGGGTTAAAACTGGAAATCGGTAAGAAAATCGCGTCAAGATTCGAAAGCCCGTGGTCCGATCGGGACGTGGACTCGCCGAGGATCCCGATCGAAGCTGGACCCTCGTATTTCGCGTGACAAAATCGGCGGCGATTTCGGTGATTGATGAAGTACCGGCTAAGAATGTCCTAATCGGTGATCGGGCCCTACTAGGCCTCATTATGAACAGCCGGAGAGTCAGCTGGACCAGAGTTTTATCTCGGATCTGGGGGGCTAGCCTTGTTAGCAAGCTGAACTATGGACTATTACATTTATCTAACCCGATCCAACGAAGTCGGGACACTGTCGCTGGTTTCTCGGTACGGCAGTGATGGATATTTCACGGTGAACGTCCTGACACTGTCGCGCGTTCGAACCGAAAAACTTCGCCTGTCTCTCCTCTCGCTCGAAGGAACTCGCCCTGTAATCCTAATTCCTCTCCTCCGAGCATCTTCTCATTAGCATCCCAGTCCCCCCCGCCTCCTCGGCCTCGTCGTTTTAATCGACTTGGAAGTTTCCCGTGCGCATTGCGCGGTAGTGCGGACAGAGTCATTAGCGGATCAGGATCGGATACTCGAGCAGAAACTTTCGCAACTCGCCGAAGAAAGTTCCTCGGACCTCTACGTCGCTCGAATCGTTAAACCGCGCAAAAATCCGAGAATTTTGAAAGCTCGAGAAGTGTATTCGAATCGGAAATCTTGAAACAAGTTCACGAATTCGTGTATTTATTCTCTGTGCGAAACTTCAATCGAACGAACTCCGACTAAAAAAGCAAAAAGAAAGAATTTAAACGGTTTGTGCGATCGTCCGAATGTTAAATTTCGTTTCAATCGTCGAAATTAATGGGACCGTAACACGGTGCTTCCGGTTTTGACGCGTTTACGGCGCATCGAAAATGNGTACAGCGCCAATTAGTGCAGTGGCAAAACGCTCAAACTGTTAGCCAAACTCGACTGTCGGTAATTTGGCTAACAGTTTCCGCGTTTTGCCACGTTTTGCGCCTCTTGTGGAGAATACACGAAGCTCCTTTCGAAGTCCGTACAGCGCCAAATAGTGCAGTGGCAAAACGCTGAAACTACTAGCCAAATTACCGACACTCGATTTTGGCTAACAGTTCGAGCGTTTCGCCACTGCACAAATTGGTGCTGTACGGACATCGAAGGGAGCTTCCTTTATTCTCCACAAGAGGCGCAAAATGTGGCAAAACGCTGAAACTACTAACCAAATTACCGACAGTCGAGTTTGGCGAACAGTTTGAAAAGCTTCACTTTTCCACCACAAGAGGCGCTGGAATCGCTCATATCCCAATGCAGGGTCCCCTAAAAACATTAATTTTGGCAAAATTAGAGCATAAAAAACAAAACCGAATACACAGATCTGTTCAGGAAAATCTGCTGAATACATATTATGTAAACAAAACAACGATTAACACTGTAAAACATGATTAATTATTTTTTAAAGTTTAAGGAAGTTTAAAAGAAAATTCGAAGTCGTTTCGTAAGAAAAAAAACTGTTTAATCGCTATAAAAAAAGGCCGAGATGCCTCTGTACATACACAGTACAAACAATATCGTATACTAAAACAATGTACAAGGGGACAATTATAAATAAAAGCAATCAAAACCATGTATAGGTCGTACGTAATGGATTCGTACGCTATCCCAGATCTCGTCGAGCGACAAGAAAAGAAATGTGTCAGAAACACGTGTAACGCGATCTAGTTTTCATCTTCACCTTCGCCAGCGTCTGCCGAGTCCATGCCGACTTCTTCGTAGTCTTTTTCCAGGGCAGCTAGATCTTCCCTGGCCTCGTTGAACTCGCTCTCGTCCATGCTTTCCGCGACGTACCTACACACATTAACGAAGACAATTGAGAAAAGATTAAAAAGAGATTTCAAAAGATTTAGAAAAGAAAGATTAAAACGATTCGAATTAAGACAGAAAACAGATCGCCACGAAGATTTACCAATGAACGAATGCTCGCTTCCCGAACATCAAATCGAATTTCCTGTTCAGCCTGGTCCAGGCCTCTGCGATAGCAGTTGTGTTCGCAAGCATCGCCATTGCTCTCTGCACTTTGGCCAGGTCACCCCCTGGCACTACAGTTGGCGGCTGGTAATTGATGCCCACCTGGAAACGACATCGTTAAACCAGAAACCAATAGAACGACCTAGAAATGATTCGGTTGCCCGCGAAGTCTCGTCTTAACCCCTTAATGCACAATTTAAAAAAAAAAAACCGACCAAAAAAAATCAATTTTTTTTATCTAAGAAAATACATATTTGGACCTTAATTTCAATAAATATGTAAAAAAATGCAAAAATTACTAAAAATTCAATAAAAATAGTGGATAAATGATTATAGTGAATATTGAATCGCATTGCAGATCGAATTTTGTACCCATCGTACTGTTTTTCAATTAATATAGGTAATATAACATAAGTTGCGACGCCGACCGTATATATACGGGTCTGCACATTTTGGCCGGTTTTGCACGCCCGTGTTAATACGTTTCTGCGCGTTAAGGGGTTAAATCACAATAAATCTCATGAATCACAATAATTTCGATTGATCAGAACCTGGCCATCGAAGGAGCCAATCGATACCTTGAATCCAGTGGGACACCAGTCCACGAACTGAATCGCCCTCTTCGTCTTAATCGTCGCGATGGACGCGTTGACATCCTTCGGCACCACGTCACCCCTGTACAGCAAACAGCAGGCCATGTACTTTCCCCTCTGGGGGTTGCACTTGACCATTTGCATGGCAGGCTCGAAGCAGGACGAAGTCAGCTCCATGACGGTCAATTGCTCGTGGTAAGCCTTCTCGATGGAGACGATCGGCGCGTACGTCGCCAGAGGGAAGTGGATCCTTGGATATGGGACCAGGTTCGTTTGGAACTCGGTCAGGTCAACGTTCAGAGCACCGTCGAACCTCAACGAGGCTGTGATGGACGAAACGATCTGTCCGATCAGTCTGTTCAAGTTCGTGTAAGTCGGTCGCTCGATGTCCAAGTTCCGCCTGCAGATGTCGTAAATCGCCTCGTTGTCGACGAGGAACGCGCAATCGGAGTGTTCCAGGGTGGTGTGCGTGGTCAGGATCGCGTTGTAAGGCTCCACCACCGCGGTGGAGATCTGCGGGGACGGGTAGATGGCGAACTCCAGCTTCGCCTTCTTCCCGTAGTCCATGGACAGACGTTCCATCAGCAAACTCGTGAACCCGGACCCGGTGCCGCCGCCGAACGCGTGGAAGATCAGGAAACCCTGCAGGCCGCTGCACATGTCCGCGATCTTCCGGATCCTGTCCAGCACCAGGTCGATGATCTCCTTGCCGAGGGTGTAGTGACCTCTCGCGTAATTGTTCGCGGCGTCCTCCTTGCCGGAGATCAGCTGCTCGGGGTGGAATAGCTGGTGGTAGGTCCCTGTTCGGACCTCGTCTAGAGGGACGGTCGATTTTCTGTTATTTTTCATATTGAAAACGTGACGGTGCTTTGTTTATTTTTTTTTCAAATATACAGAGTGCCTCTGCTAAGGATGGTGACCTAGGGTGTTGCGAACGTTTTTGTAGATGTTTAAGCGAAAATAATTATC